CATTTGTAATATTACTATAATACATTTTTATGAAAAATTCATCAAATAATTGCATAATGTAAAAGTACACAAACATTATAATTTCCATAAAAAAACTTCTCTATATATATATGTATAGGTGTAATCTAATTAGATGTGTTAATTTAATAGTTATTAAGTAGATTAGATGGCAATGTAGTAGCACAAATAAAATGTTATCTTACTCTCACACACTGTACATACAAATAATAATTTTCAAAGGCAATAAGTAATCAGACGTAGTATGTATGTACATATGTAGTGCCTATATTATATTCATGAACGGCGTTCGGGCCACAGTTTAGATGCTAAACGCATGTATGATATAGAAATTGCTTTACTCTGATTGGCTGATGATTCACTGCCGAACAGTGCTGCCCTCACAGCCAAAGACAAAGAGAGGAAATGGTGAATGAGCAAGAGAGCACAACATCAACAAAACCACATATCCAAAATACATAAGTCATACATCGCACTAAAGACTAATAGCTTCTCTCATTTTAGGGTAGTTGCAATCTCACTCTTATCGCGCATCCATTCACCTAGCACTCCATTTTAAACGCGCGGCACGATATTTTATTTGTACTGTCGCCTCGTAGAATTCTCGACCACATCGTCTAACGTATTTACGGACAATGCTCAATCTATATCGAGATATGTTCTGAACGTATATATCGCCAGATCACACTTATTCAACGTATGATTAAGGACGAACTGTCCTCAGAACTGTCCTCACCCATGCTAGTTGTATCTGCAACATACAAAAGACCAACAAATTCGATGGTGATTCTGTAATTTGTGTTAATTAATTGACTTAAAAGAAATACTTCGATCTTTTTTAATTTGCCTGTGACACGATCTTGAGCTGAATAACTGCCAGCGGTGTGGTGTGGAATCCTCAAACGTCGTTTGTCTTCTACTGCTTAACCATCTCTAAACATAACAAAAACAGCTTTATCATGCGGTAGCTCTCTAGTAGCTCGGCATAAGTTTCATTTCATTATTTTAAATTTCATATATTTCATAAAATTATTGAAATATATTTAAATTAAAAAACTTAATTATCATACTGATGTTGAGTAACAGGGATTTATAAAAGTTCTTTATTGAACGTTGCAACTTGCGTAAAAATTATTTAAAATAATGAGCACTGAAAAGTGCTGTTTGGAGCACTGAAAAATGCTGTTTGAAGCACTGAAAAGTGCTGTTTTTTTAAACATCCTCTTGGTTCTCTTGGCCCCAATATTCTGTGGTCCTGGTGGCGGTGGCGGCTGTGGTCGTATGAGCCCGTTCTCGTCGTTGCCTCTTGTCCTTACATCTGAATCGCTCCTTTGCCGTTCTCAGTACCACTCGCATCGATTCCTGAAAATCCCAACGAGTGGGCTTTGGAAATGTTTTACTTTTGCAGGCAGCATCTGCAACATTGTTTTATACAAAGATTATTTCAATAATCATATTAATATTACTGTACGAATGTAGTAATAATAAGTAATTTTTACCGTAGATTGCCTGCACAATTTTTGTTTTGTACAGTGGTTGGCACGCGTCCGTGCCAAACCACGTGTAAGAAGCAAGGAGGCTATCGCAGATTGCCTCTCTAAAACAGATACTGGTTGCCTGTTTTAGATTATTTCCCCCTAAATAACAAAAGTACATTACCTAAAAATATAAGTAAACATTAATACATATACAACAATGGCATAATTGCATATACTTACAACACTTTTGTATTCTGCGGAGGAGTTTCCAAAGCTGTCTACCTCTTCTGTGGTTCGGAGAGGCAGACACTCTGGCTTCTGATCATTGTAGGCCTCTTCCTTCTCCAGGTTTCTACAGAGAAATTCGTTCATCTTCCTGCAAAGAAAAAGTAAATTGTATAATTTCTTAACAACAGCTGTGGACGTTATACTTACTTCATTTCCAACTCTACACTTGTTAGTCTTTCACAAATCTTGCTGCAATACAAATAGAAATATAATCATTTACTATAAAATGTAATTTTAACTGTTATTTTAGTAAAAGAAAAGCGTGCAAGTTACCTTTTTGCTATCTTCTCTAGCATTCCTAGCATATTATCGAGTTTTGCTCCAATGTGGTTATTACTCTCTGTATTGTCTCTACCTAAGAAGTGGTTACTATAAATATGTGCAGGGGATGGACAAGTAGATGTGCGTGTAGTAGAGATGGGCGAGTATCCGATATATCGGGGATTAAAATCGGGTCGAGTATTTTTTCGGCGTACCCGAATTGAAATCGAACTCCGAGAATTTTCGGGTATCTGAAATGCTAAAAGCAGATTAAGGAGTGTTTATAAGTCCAGAAATTTTTTTAGAAATATATGTATATAAAAAAATACTTGCAGATGATACAGAATCAGGAAAAGCTAATAAAATGACTAAATATACCTCCCCGATTCCATTTTAGAATTTCGGATACCCAACAATTTTTGGGATCTGATATAACTTCGAGTACCCGAAAATTTCGGGACCCGACCCGAACCTGAAAAAAATACCCGATCCGATTTTAATCCGAAATCTCGGGTACTCTAGATTGCCACAGTTGCCTCTAGTTGCCACAGAAAATGTTGGCGGGCGAGGCTCGTCATTTTCACTTTAGGAGTTAACACATTGCGGACGGCTCACGAGATATCTCGTTTTTAGCAA